GACCAAGGTGTCCCCGCAGACATCTCCTTTGCGGAAGCCCAAGGACTTGCAAGTGCTTTGGGGTTTGCCTTTGGCAAACTTCAGGAGGTTATGTTGGATGCCGCAGATGGGGTAAGATATTTCTTCAGTTTGGTCTGCGGCAGGGCAAACAATGGCAAGATTGTTCCACAGACGCACGGCAGGAGTCCAACTCGACCTCGCCGCCTGCCTCCCGCGCTTCTCCAAAGATGGAGGGCCGGCCGCCCCAAGATGAAAGGCTCGCGCAGCAGCTGCTTCAACAGCAGCTGCAACAGCAGCTGCAACAGCAGCTGCGGCAGCAGCAACAAGCACAGCAGCAGCAACTGCAGCAGCAGCAGCAGCTCTTGCGGCAGCAACAGCAGCAGCAACAGCAGCGGCAGCGGGAGCAACACCAGCGGGGTGTGTCCCCACCAGGTAGTGGTAGCGTGTCTCCGCCAATGGGACACATCTCCCCAGATGGTCGCGTGTCGCCGGTTGGCCACCTATCTTCTATGATGGAGGCAGCTGCCAGGATGTCGACCATGATGGAGGCGCGGTGGCCATGAGTCAAAATCCCGTACCCCAGTGAACATCCCACCAAAATGGGATCCTGTTGGTTTTGACGCACAGCCGGGTGTTGATTCAGATCGCCGAGCATCGCCAGGCCAACCTGCCACCATCTATGGAGGCGAGTGATGGTATGTGTCGCAGTAAGCTGCATCCGGTGTTTTGCTTCATACCGCCCTGTCTTTTTGCCTCCCCAGATCCCAAGCTGCCGAAAAAAAAAAAAACGGGGGCCCGGCCCCCATGGCCGACGCAGCGGGGCTCGCTGCTGCAGTTCCAAGTTCCAAGTTCCGAGTCAGGAGGAGTTGAGCCGGCCACGATCACCGCCAGGGCCAGAGCTTGTCGTCTCGCAAAAAACGACTTTTTGGCATATGTAGTGTAGTGAGGTGCGAATGTGTTTGTTTTGTAGGCCCCCCCAAAAAACAAGAATAAATGATAGAATATAATACAACTGAAAATAATACTACCCCCCCCGCTTCCCCTTAAAATGCTGGGTTTTCCCATTGGTTTTCTTTTCGACTCCAACCCCAAAAAGGGAGCCGACCCACAGCTACCTCCGAGGAACAGCTTCTCGGGGGGCTGCTTCGGGGACGCGGCCCAGGGCCTAGGCCCGGTGCTCGGGTATGGGTCAAAACCGTTCAACGGGATCCCATGTGGCTGTGGGTCAAAACCAATGGTACCATACTGGACCCATCTTAGTCTATTTTAGTGGTTGGATTGGGATGTTCACTGGGGGTAGAGGGTTTTGACCCACAGCCATGTTGGGCGAGGTGAATGCGCCGCCCGTTTTAGAACCCTTTTGTGGGGATTGAATCGGATGCGATTTTGAGCCATGGCCATCTGGGATTGGACCGCAGGACCGCAGGTTTTTGGTCCATGCGTTTCCATTTACCAGGGTTCCAGTTTGGGGTTGCCAGCAAAATTTCCTTGACCACAGCACCATCTGACGCGTGACTCAAATTCGCGATGGCCCTGCTTCAGGTGCTTCCAACATGGATCTCGCTGCTTGGTCTTGCAGTTCATTCGGAGCCGAAAGGTAACCTGGATGGGTCGGATGCCAAAGTTGGAGCGACCTTGCCTTGAGGTTTCCTGGTGGCTTTTTTTTCAAGCACGCGAAACCAAAGCTGGACCAAAAGCACCACCCCCCCACCAGTTGGGCCAGAACAGAAAAAAGGGCGAACAACAAAAAAGGGGCGACAAAACAAAGGGCGAAACACCAAAGGGCGACAAAACAAAGGGCGGAAAAAGAAAAAGGCAGTAAACTGAAAGGGCCCTAAAGCCGGGGCGAGAGAAACAAAAAGGCCGGGGGGTCGAGTCCCTCCTTGCGAGGCGGCCTTAATGGCGGAAACGGAGCGCATCCAGCGGGAGCCGCTCGGCTCTGACCGAAGCGACGCCGGGGGTTTTGGCGCGCCGTTCGGGGAATGACCGAGACTCCGGGTGGTGGAATGCACCGGTGTTTATTCCCTTATAAAGGACAAACAGCTTGGATGGATGGTTTTCTTCTTTTTTTAGGGGGTCATTCCAGTTCTCATCTCATTCCCTGCCTACTGAACATGCGGAACATGTCCAATTCTCATCTCATTCCCTGGCCACTCTCTCACGTCCCATTCTCATTCCCCTGCCCAATCGCACCAGCCAACCCAAAAAAAAGCCACCTCTGGCGCTTCCCCGCCCCTAGCGACTGCCCTCCAGCGCCACGCCTCCAGCGCGACGCCTCCGGCGCCACGCCTCCGGCGACGCCTGGAGGCAGAAGCTGAAGCAGCAGCTGCTGGAGAAGCACTTGCTGGAGGCCCAGCAGCAGCAGCTGGCCATGCTGAGCCAAGGCGTGGGCGGGGGGCGAAGGCCATGGGTCCCCGAATGACCATTCGGGGGCAGGAAAGATGCGGAGCTATGGACAAGTGGAACCTGACCTCTATGGACCAATGGACCAATGGGCCAGATGGGTCCAAAATTCAGCCACCATGGACCACAGGCTTTAGTCCATGTGGCTGTCAACACCAATGGGATCCCATTTTGGGGGATTGGTGAATTCACCACCCATTTTTGAACCTATTTTAGTGGGGATTGGAATGTTCACTGCAATCACTGGGTTTTGACCCATAGCCATGTTTCCATTTACCAAGGTTCTTTGTTGGGCATCTATTTGTGAGAGATAGCCATGTGAGATGATCTTTGCCCCGTAGCTCAACGGCACACAGAATGTGTGAGGAAGTCCTTGCAGGCACCAAACAGCCAATCAACAACGAAGAACACGAGAAAGCAAGAATGGGTGCAGTTGTTTATTGGCAAATGTCTGGGAAGCAAACCACTTCGCCGAAAGGGGCGATGTCGCCTATTCTAAATAGTTTGTTTTTGACGGTTTTGGTTGAGGGGTGAAAATTGGAAGCTCACCATGTTGCAGGGCTCCTTAAAAGATCGATACATTTTGCAACCAGTTGAAACATGGCTTTTTCCACCAAAATAAAGGGACACCACCATTTGCAAGGCAATGTTCAGGTGTATAAGGTAAAGATCCTTGTTGAGTGCTCCATTTAAAAGACACCCCATCTTCTTGCCTCCCGCTTTCTTTCGGTGACCTCAAAGTAGCTGAACGGTCTTGCTCCTGGTTTTCCCAATTCACAGAACCACCAAACAGGGGGCACCAACTCAAAGAAAGACCACGCACTTTTCGCCGATGTGTTTTCCTTTGAAAGGACCAAACTTTGGACCCCCCCGATGGAAGATATGTGGTCGGCCTTCCAGGTGGCTTGCAGCGGGGCCAAATCGAGGCAGCTTTGGCAGCTTGGATCTGGATGCATCGGGCGTGCGCTCCCGGCATCTCTTCGATGCCTTTGTTGGGGAAATCGTTGCGGATTTGTCCTTCTTTTTTTTTTCTGGGGAAGCTATTTTGGGAGACTTTTCTTCCTTTCTGTTGGGATTTCCCAACAGGGCAACACATGTGCGCCATGGGGGGGGGGGGGTCCTGGAAAAAGAAGCACCCATTTTGCGGGGGTGCCCTAAACATAGAGAACACCATTGCCATATATATATATATATATGTATATTTTTTTTTTTTGGGGGGGGGCCCTAACAAATAGAAAATGAGGCGTACCCATATGCGTATGCAGGCATTGCTGCGGACGAGCCTGATTGGACCATGTTCACACGTTTGTGTGCTTGTGAGCCAGGTGCATGCGTCAAAAACATCCAATCGGCATTTTTTCCGAAGATGTACCGGTGTTCACGGATGTTGTTGGGACACATTTTACATTTTTACATTTAGTGGGAAATCCCCACTTTACTGCTAACATTTAAATTTGTGTTCCCCTTTCAACGTCAACCAAGTGTTCCGGAATAGGATTTGCAAGACAGGATCGGGATCCAGACGACGAACCAAGGCCGAGTCCTGCATTTGTCTTTGAATGGGGTCAATTTCTGCATTCATTCTGATGCTGCATGGTCGCACACTCGACGGGCCAAGGCAACCTTGATGGCTCAGCAGCAACAACAACAGCAGCAGCAGCAATCCCAGAAGCAGAGACAGCAGCAACAGCAGCAGCAGCAGCAGAAGCAGCAGCAGCAACAGCAGCAGCAGCGGCAGCAGCAGCAACAGCAGCAGCAACAAGAGCAGCAGCAGAGCCGCTTGGCGAAAGGTGAATCAGGGAGTTACAATAAAAACTCGGGTAGTTGGAGTGTAACAAGGGACAATCCCAGCCATAACTGGCTGCAGATATCCGCCACGTCACTTCTTTACTTGGTTCTGGGTCCCGACCATTTGAATACCGGGTTTTGATTATGACGGGCTTCCTGCTTGTTTCTGGAAGCCACTTCACGTCAATCCGATCCGGGTCTCCAAGGATTGCTACAGCAGCTGAATTCCGGCCAGCTGAGTCAAAGCCAGCTTGCTGCCCTTGCGAACGGAGGCGGGCAGAGTTGACGCGACACTCACCGCTTGCTGCGACGGGAAAGCTAAGCTTTGCATGGCAAGACATGGATTCCTTAAGGAGCTGTGAGCCTCGCAGATTTTCTCGATTCAGTCTGGCTACTGAGCCCACTCACCCTAACCACGCACCAAGCTATGTCCTGTCTCTTGAAACGCGACACCTTACGCTACCTCGGGCCCGTGCTCGCGTACCTGGGGCTCAAAGTCCCATCGAGGCAACAAAGGCCCTTGGTGCTTAGCCCCGCGCAGGTTATGGACCCTCTCAGGTGCCGGGCTGGGCCGGGGGGGGGGGATGTGGGGGATGTGGGGGATGTGGGGGATGTGGGGGATGTAGGGGATGTCCTGGGAAGGCCGTTTAACGGTCAACATAGTGACCTGCTTGATCCCAAACTAGATTTTCCAGGCTGGTGGCAGCCCCTCACATGTTTATGGCGCAGACTCCAAAGTGTTGGTTTCATGCTCCATGTAGGTGTCCTGTTGCAATGTATCCAATTAAAAAGCGCAGTGTGACGTCACAATTTTCGCCGAAACAATGTGAAGAGAGGCGCTGGTGATTCCGTGATTCGCGTGTTTGGTGCTTCCGTTCTTCACGCGCTGTTTGTTTTCAGGAGATTCTGGGGTTGCGCTTTGCCCGCGAGTAAGTGTGCTGGCCTGGTTTGACTCATTCGGTCCGTGGTCCAAGGTTGCGCTCCGAGAGCAAAAAGGATGCCTATACTTCGAGACAAGCCGAACACCGTGATTCAAGCGGTCGGTTGAACATGGATGCTCAAGCGGCTCCGAACGAATCCCGGGAAACCAGGAAAGCAGGGTTCCACTGGTTTTTCTTCTTGTTTTTTCCGGCTACTGCAAGGAAGACCGAAACCCAGGGGTTCTCCTTGAGGAAATGTGAACCAGCGGCTCACAAGAATGAACCAAAATGGCACCTTGGTAAAAAGACAAGCTGCGGTTTGCCCTGGCTCTTTAATTTTGAGCCACACCCAAGTGAGCCACTTGCTCAAAACCCGGGGATTGATGAAGGTTAGTAAGGCAAGCCCAGCCAGAAATAGTTGAGAACATATCCGGCTGCTTAATTCTTGCAGCATGGTTCTGGGTCAAATCCAAATCGTACCCCCAGTGAACATCCCAATCCCCACTATAGGTTGGCTCCAGTGGAACCCATGGAGACGTAGACCTGCGGTCCATATCGCTAAGGTGACCCGCCTGGCGGAGAGGCAGGAGCTGGCGCACCTCGGCAACGCGGAAAGTCGGACAACGTGGCAGTGGTCAAAAACCGTTTTGGATCCCTTTTTGGTTGGTAGGTGAATTCACCACCCATTTTTAGGCTTTATTTTAGCGGGGATTGAATCGGATGTTCACTAGCTTTAGACTTTGGATTTGTTTGAGGGCAGGTACAGATCTTTGCATGGCAAGTCCTTAGGGTTTTGGTTCCTTGCCTTGAGCAAAGCCCTGGGCTGGCATTGCGCCCAACGAGACCTGGGAATTTCCTGAAAGGAAACCAGTTTAATGGGGGAGGTCGAGGTGGGCACGTCTCAAATGCTTTAGCAGGACAAAAAAAGTCAGATGGCTATGGGTCAAAATTAGACCACCAGGGACTGCAGAGTTTAGTCCATGTTTCCATTTACTAGGGTTCCATTGTGGTACCTATTCTTGACCCACAGCCAGATCCCGAATCTGAGGACAGGAAGGCCCCTTCAGCGAAATCCACTTGAGCACAGAGACAGAGGCACCGAGACGCAAACGCACGGAGACACGCAGGCAAAAAGACACAGGGGAAACATACGGAGCAAGTAGAGACGCGCCGAGACACAGAAAGACAAGGGGAGAGAGAGAGAGAGAGAGAGAAATAGAGAGAGAGAGAGAGGGAGAGAGAGAGAGAGAGCGAGAGAGAGAGCGAGAGAGATAGCGAGGCAGAGAGACAGAGGGAGAGAGACAGAGAAAGAGAGAGATTGAGAGAGCCACACACACACACACACGCGCAAAGAGACACAGAGAGTCACGCAGAGACAAAGAGAGAGACACAGAGAGCCACAGAGCCGGTGACACTGGCATGCGCAGAGGCAGACATCGATGGAAACAGACCGAGACAGCTGTGTTAGCCAGAGGCGCACCGAAGCAGCACGGCGCGGGCCTCAGGGTCTGTGGATGGAGTTGGTTCGGTCGCTTTTTGCCCTGACTGCTATTTGGTTGGATCTGTAGACTTTAGCTTTTTGGGAAATAAAGGCGTTTTCCACTAAACCCCCAAAAAGTTAGACTTTTTGCAGGGGGGTCAACAGCAACCAAGTTGCTGGGGCCAAAAGGGTTGACTGTTTCTAGAGCTCATCAAAGTCAGAACTGGGGTGGTTTCCCTTTAACACACCACTTAGGGGTTGACTTTGATAATGACAAAATCATGGAGCCAGCTTTGCTTCTTTCAGGAAGTCCAGTCTTGTAAGGCGACTGAAGCAGACTGGGGGAAACCCAAAGGCGCGGTCCTGAGGCGTTTCTCATGTTGCGCATCCGAGGCAGCAGCAGGAGGAGCGCTGGGAACGGGAAAGGCAACGTGCAGGCGAGCGCGTTGTAAACTCGACGAATTCAGTCTGCCCAAGTCAAACTCGATTCTAAGAAGAGCCAGGAGACCGCAGGCTTTAGTCTACTTTTCCATTTACCAGGGTTCCATTCTGGGCCCTTCTTTTTGAGCCAAACCTTGGATTTATTCGTCATGGGTCGGTTTTCCCTCCGGCGAAGTGGGAACACGGCAATGACAGGTGCCGAGAAGCAGTTGGGCTCTCAGTGGTCATCGATTTGAGCCTTTGTTCGTTACGTCGAGAGACACACAGAGACAGACACGCACACAGAGTCAGACACACAGAGACACACACAGAGACACACGCACAGAGACACACACACAGAGACACACACACAGACACACACACACACAGAGACACACACAGAGACACACACACACAGAGACACACAGAGACATACAGAGACACACAGAGACAGACAGAGACACACACAGAGACACACAGAGACACACAGAGACACACACACACAGAGACACACACACACAGAGACACAGAGACACACAGACACACACAGAGACACACAGAGACGCACAGAGACACACAGAGACACACAGAGACACACACACACAGAGAGACACACACACACACAGAGACACACACAGAGACACATTCGAACAAGTCCAAGGCTATCCCAAGCTAACATTGTTTGTTGTCTTCCTGTTTGATTTGGGACCAAATCTGTCCTTTTTTGGGTTAGCATCACCTTTGCGATGTTCAAGTGACACCCCTTTCGAGGTGGATTTTCGTGCGTGATCCAGAAAGTGCTCACACGCAGGCACGCACGCGTGCGCACTTGCACGCGGCGCGCGCAGGCTCGCACACGCACGCGCGCACACACACACACACACACACACGCATACATAGGCCAGGCACATGAAAGTGATCAATATAATCCCTTTCCGGCGCTGATTTTGGTGCCTGATCCGTGGAAGGTTTCGAGCACCGAGTCCAGCACACCGTTCCCGCGGCTTTCAATGACGTCGTTGGACGCTTCGCCTTCGGGCGGGGGGGCGCTCCGCGCCGCTGCTATAATCCCCCTGGCCGCGCGAGTGCGCGCCAAGAACGTGGAGGCGGCCTGGGAGACGGCCCTGGTCACTGCACTCTGGGCCTTCGTCCTCCTGCCGTCGTTTTACGCGTTGTGGGCATGTCTTGCACGAATGCGCGGATGTGCTCGTCACCATGCTGGCATGTGGCATTCTCACCCTGACCATGGCAGTCATTTTGGTAGTGCGCTCGATGATTTTCTCCTGTCCCACAACGGTGGCAGGATGCATCGCCGCTGGAATGATTGCCGGAGTTGCGATGTTGGCTCTCTCCTGTCGCTGGAGAACCAGGGGTTTAATTCGACCTTTTGAATGAAGCGGCAAAGGGCAGCAAGCAGATCTGCACTTCTCGCCTTCATGTGATTCGGGGAGCAGGGCCTACCCAATTTGCCCACAAACCGCTTTAATCACCTTGGTCGATGTCCATGCCGCATGTGGGTGTGTCTCTTTTTGAGTTGGTACCCTTGTTGGATGTGTTTTCTTAATCGGGAAACCACCTGTTGGATGTGTTTTCTTAATCGGGAAACCACCAGGACCGCCGAATCCATGTTGGGGGGTCCGATTCCTAAAGGAGGACGCCCATGTGATCTTTGCCCTGGCCGTGCTTCATGTGTTTCTGTAGGGCTTGATTCCTCATTCTTTTCAACCATCGTTCTTTTCAAACTCCGGCTGCTTCGCCTAGGTTTTTGATTTCCTGCAAAGATTCGCATCCCTGGAAATGGAAATGGAAGGTACCCCCACATTTTCATGGTGCTTTTGCAAAAAAACACATCTGAGCCGAGGCGCCCCTGCCCGACGCACGGCTGGCAGTATATCGACCCCAAGAAGAACGTGCAAGGGCCCTTCTCGCTGCAGGAGATGCGGCGTCCTCGGAAAGAACCTTTTTTTTTGGTTTGGGGGGGGGGGGAACGGCGAAGGGGGACGGGTTCCTCTGGCGTTTCGAGCTTTTGGCTTGAAAAAGGAAGTCGCCTATAGGCAGTTTCTGTGCGCACTGGCGCGCTAGCGCGTGGCGAGGCTTAGACGGTTTGAGCGTTGAACTGGATTTGGTGTTTTCTTGGTGCTTTGTGGGATTGCAGCTCGCAAAAAATAAATAAACAACAATCCCCCCACAGCATGTTCAGACAGCACCTGTTGGCTTGACTCCCGCACTCGAAGGATCAGAGATTTGGCGGCCATGTTCAGAGAGATGATTCGCCCATACTTTGAAATGCCGAATCGAAGGGCCGTGTTGCTGCTGCAGAACTGCATGGATCCCGAGAAGAAACACACACCGAACCAATCAGACCGAGAACCAGATCTCCGGAGCACGAAACCGCGCTGCAAGCCCCGCTTCGCTCCTTGCGGGATTGCAGTAGTTGAACTTGGCTTGACAGCTATTGGGTTGGATCTTTAGACTTTAACTTTTTGGGAAATAAAGGTGTTTTCCACTAAACCCCCCCAAAAAAGTTAAACTTTTTGCAGGGGGGTCAACAGCAACCAAGTTAAGGAGACATTAAAAAGACCAGGTCAGCCGTGGGTTCTAAACGTTGAGATCGGAAAGCAAAAGCGACCACTCAGCACATGTCAGCACGGTTGCTTCGCCTCCTGCAAATAAGCGCTGAATAAGGCCTAAGCTCCCCTCCCCTCCCCTCTCCTCCCCCCAGCTCACATATTGCTTCGCTTGCTTCGCTTGCCGCTTGAGGCAGACCTGGCACCAGATGGGCTTCTTTCAGCCGGAGCTGCAAATGAGGCGGAGCCGGCGGAGCTGTCGCCTCGTGCTCTCGAACCTGCCCTTCCCCCCGATCCGTGACAAGGGCCCCAAAAAAAGAGGGCTCTTTCTGCTTTTCAATGGTCCAAGCCCAAAAAGAGGGAATTACGACGATGACAGGGAGTGAATCCGCCTCTTGGCTCACCGAAACCCAGAAGTCGATCACTCCACGGATCCATTGGATTCTTATGGGAACCGTGGACTGGGAATGGAACAGTGGACCATCCGGCCCCCTTTGGGTGGCTCGCCTTTTCCTTTTGAGTGGGAAACGAAAAGAACATTGAAAAAGAGACGAGCCAGCCATATGTTCCGTGAGTTTTGACCACATGCCAATCCAAGAACTCTCCAACATACCCTTTAAAGTGTTTTTTTCTTTTCTTTCGGACACCTTCTGGTCGGAACCTTCATGGGAATGCTCAAAAGGTAAGGGTTCTCGCAGCCGAGAGTCAGATTCACTCCCCGAGAGAGCAATGGTCGATTGTCTCTTCTTGGGTTACCATTTCAGTGGCAAGCAAGTGTGTTTGACACACTCCCTGTCATGGTCGTTAATCTCTTTTCGTGGTTGTTTGGCAGCTTTATTCGGCCCTCGTCAGGAGTCAAGACTCGATTCTTTTCTTGTCCGGTTGTCTCTTCTTGGGTTTGGGGTCCGTTTAAACGCGGGAGCCTTTTTTGTCGGCCCTTGTCATCGGAAGGGCTCGGAGAGTCCGTCCATCGCCGCCCGAAAGTGGACGGACGCGAGACGGCGAGGTGCGACCCCTCGGACCAGTTCGTGGCGCTGAAGGACCTCTTCCCACCTCCGCGGGTGCCTTTCGAGAGCTACCCCCAGCACCTCGGATGGAGCGAGTCGAGTCGAGTGGCCACAAAGGAAGGCCGCTGGGTTCTGAGAGTCGATCTTCCTGTTTTCAAGTTGGAGCTGCCAGGAGGAGGGGGTTTATATTATTGTTTAAACAACCACCCAATGAAAGGTGTTCATTCATTCATTCATTCATTCATTCATTCACTCACTCACTCACTCACTCACTCACTCACTCACTCACTCACTCACTCACTGACTCACTCACTCACTCACTCACTCACTCACTCACTCACTCACTCACTCATTCATTCATTCATTCATTCATTCATTCATTCATTCATTCATTCATTCATTCATTCATTTATTGATTATTTATTTATTTATTTGTTTGTTTATTTATTCATTTCTTTAAAAACAAACTCATTCATTTATTTTCATGAACACTTGCACGATGGACTGCACTGCGGCTTTCGTTTTCTCTCCGCCGGCTCTTGGCTCGCTGGCCCCTGAGGCGAGTGCCGGGCAACGGCTTCGGACGCTGAGTGCGAGTCACCCAAATTGGCAGAGTGTGTGAAGCGTATGGGTCAAACACATGGCGCGGTCACAGGGCAAACTCTGAAACGGCTTCAGGCCCGAGATTTCAGAGGCCCTTGCTTGGGAATTTTTCGGACTGACGTTAGCATGACCCCAGATGAATCAACGGTGCCTTCCATGTTTCCAAGTTGGTGGGGTCAAAATTAAGCCACCAAGATATGGACCACAGGTCTTGGTCCATGTTTCCAGTTGCCAGGGTTCCATTTGGGGTACCTAGTCTTGACCCACAGCCATATGAGCAAACACAACGCATGAAGCCAACAAAGACAAACAGGGAGGGAGCCATGATTCCTTCTTTCCATGCGGGATACCAGTTTTTGTGTGAGCTTCATTGGACGCTCTCGCGTGAACGGGCTGGCAGAGTCAGCGGTCGATTGCCAGGATTGAGATCGTTTTCACAGGCGAACGCCTGGACTTCTAATTCTTAGACCTGGTCGGACGCCAAGGTCCGATCAAGTGCATGGCTTCGAGTAGAGTCCCCGGCCTTTGAGAAAAATGAGACTTAGCTTGTGGCCATAGCCGAAACATGTGGCACCGGCCAAGGCTTGGTCGTTCTTTGGTTGGACCGGTTCTCCTATCAGATCTGCTAGACCTGTCAGTTTCGCAGTTGTTGCTAGCAACGAGCAGAATTACGTTTAAGCACATGTGGCTTCTTGGGCCCGCTACACCCAAAAATAGGGGCCCAGTAGTGCCCTTCTCTCCCTTTTTTTTGGTTGGGAGGGTTCCCCTACTAAGAAAAGACGCTTCAGAAACAAACAAGTTTCTACTACTAAAATAGACCACAGAAAAAGAAGTTAGTGCCCTTTTTCTATCCTCTCTGCTGGAGGACCCATAGAGTCTAAGACCGAAGACCGTGTTTTCTGGGGGCTGGCGGAAGATCTTCGCGGAGCTGAAACCGGGGCTGCGGGAATGGCCTCTAACTCCTGTTTCGATCGGCGTGTCACTGGCTCCCCAGACGTTTTGGGTGAAAAATTCATCCCCAGGGGCCCTGGCTTGACACCACACCAACTCCAAGTGAGGGCCTTTCACGATGTGTTGGAGCTTTTTTCCTCACCTTGCCGCAAGCGGCGCACCAGAACCCATGTGGTTGGTTCAGATTTTAGGGGCTTCCAACTTGTGTTTCCGGGCGCCGACACGGGTTATGAATTGGAGCCGCGTCTGCAGCCCCGACCACGTCATTCTGAGCTTGGCTGCTGACAATAGAAACTGCCGGTCAGCGCCGATGGCTCCAAAACATTTCGTTCGTCCGCACATCGACCCTTTCGGTCGGGCAAGTAGGGCCTATCAAATTCGCCGGCATTGCCGTGAGTTTCGCCCAGGGAGGCTAGAAAAGGCGCTACAGCAGATGGAGAACAAGATGATGCCAATGGCCCCTAGATCTTTTGGATAGCCTGAATAGATAAGTAGATAATCCCCAATATACCCCAATAGATAAACAGGTGAATAGATCTTAGATAGCCTTAGCAAGGTATATACAGAGAAATAGATACTCTAAGGGCCGCCCTTGTGCCGCCCCTGATGCTGCCTCATCCAACGCCCGCTCCTGCTTGATGGCATTTCCATGGAAAGTATTCCGGTCCAGGAACCAAAGGGACACCAAGGGGAAATAGAAGGCAACCAAAGGGAAACCACAAAAGAAACAAGACGCAATACAGGGCCATGTGGACTTGCTGCCATGACATGATGCCAACATATGCCTTCCCTGTTGGTAGGCTTTATGCCCAAATACCAGAACAAGTCCTTTCGCATCCCCAGCATCACCACTGTGGCCTATGTTTAACTTAGATGACCGCTGGAAGTAAACAGCAAATAGCGAAACCGGATTGCCAAAAATCGGCTGTCCTTTTGGATTTCCTTTTTTAGCATCGGATGATTCTTAGCCAAACACCATTAGTATCTGGGTCTAACGTGCCTTTTGAATCCACAACAGCACCCTCTCACCACCGGCACCGCTTCAAGACGGAACAGGGTGGAAGAAAGCAAGAATAAAGCTACACATCCGTATAGTGATCTATATAACGACCACTTGAACAGACCCATTATGGTGACTGCTGATGTTGCCAGCCTCTCCCTGCGCCTCCCTTTTCCAGGAGAGAGTCAGTGGATTATATATATATATATATATATATGTACACAAAAACACATACCACGCACATATACATATATATATATATATATAACTGCTACCCCCCCTTGAAATACTCATTTTTTGGGCCAGAACTGAGGTTTTTGGCCAGACTGGGGCTGACAAATGCCTTGAGACTCTGAAACGAACTGACTGGACGCTCAACTACATGCAAATTCTAACCAAGCAGAAGTTAAGCTGATTAGGAGTTGCGAGTTGTGTGACCGTCACATTGGCGTGCGCGAAGTGCACTTAAAGTCACATTGGAGTATGCAAAGTGCAATTTTTGGCAGTTCCAGCTCAAAAAACAACTGTTCAGTGCAGGAGTAGTGCGCGAAGTATGTTTTGGCAGCTTCAACGCGCCTGTAGCAGCCCTATTATTTGGTGTTTATTATTTTGGTTTGGCAGCGAAATTCAGCAAATCATCAATTTGGGGAAAAGGAACTCATTCCTAATTCATGTCCTTGCGCAGTTGCATTTACATGTTAGCTCGAGTGTTGTGCATAATTCCTGACATGCTAGTTCAGTCTATTTGAAACATATGTTGCAAAGCAACTATCCCATGTGTGTGTGTGTTGCTTGTCTAAGTTGGTTCAACCATCGCCAATAACAACTGTTGAAATTCAAGTAAGGGAAGAATATCGAGAGAAAATGGCTTTCGAGATCAAACCAAATTCAAGTTTACTCGTTTGCAGTTTCTTGTGCATTTCAAAAAACCAACTGGAGAAGATAGCTGTTGTCATGGCCAAATGAGTTTGGAATCAAACTCAATTTTGAAAGGGTTATTGTGCTTATCGAACTCCATGTGGTTTGAACCAAGCAAGAACTGAGCCAAGCCAATGACAGGAACGTGCTTTCAATCATAGATCCTATTCTTTGCATTAATTCTGTAAAACGCAGTGTTTTCAGCATTTGGTCAGATCGCGTTGCCCTGGATCGAACATCGAATATACAAGATTCCACAAACATATGTTTAGAATATACTCAATCCTGGTCCCCCAAAAACTTGACAGTTTGTTCTAGACTCATTAAGGTTTCGCCCCCTGCGTTGAAGATTGAAGATCTACCAGGTTTTCTCCTTGAGGGCCTTCCATCCTGGCCAGCCCTCAAGTCCACAAAAACTGTAAAGGTGTCAGGAACATTTTCCCCTGGCCAGTTGCAGGCAGTGCAAGCGCACATCCAATTTTGATTCTGACAACGTGCACTCCCGGTCTGCCGTTTGATTCTTCAAATCCGCATTGAGGGCAATCCAGGATCTGGATTGGAGATTGAAGATTCCCTGACAACTCTTTCTGAAATTCTCCAAATATGTACTTAGAGTAATCCAGGATGTGCTAGCACGTGCCTGGATTGAAGATTGAAGATTGAAGATTCTCAGACCACTTGTTGTGGAAGTAAGTCGGCTTTTAAGTATAAAAAGGAGTGCAATTTAGAGCCTCTGGAACGTGTGCTTTGCATGCATTTTTACAGCCTACAATGTCAGTTTCTGGCCAAAAACCTGAGTATTCCAGCGGGGGGTTACCATATATCTAGAGGTGTGTATAGACTCTGGCTTGGTGTGTTTGACCTGTATTTTCCAGTGTTTTATGCATTTTTTTGCTTCTTGGATTTGTGTCAAAATTAGGGGGTGCCATATTCATATACGATATGCATGCATGCAGACAGATGTGATAAAAGCAATGACATCAGCATCTGCAATCTGAAAGAGTTGGAGTGCATCCAAGAGTACAAGAACAACTCAGATTCTTTAAAAACTTCCCAAAATTCCTGGATTCAAGATTCAAGACTCAAGAATCTGAGATAAGATTTTCTGGAAATCTTGAACCTTGAATCTTGAATCCCAAAATTCTGGGTTCAAGATTCAAGAACCTGAGAAAATATTTTCTGGGAATCTTGAATCTTGAAACTTGAGCCCAGGGTTTGGTCCAGGGTTGTTTCAATACTCTCGGTGTTCAATAAGATTCTCGGAAGAGTTTTGCGTGAAATGTTTCAATCTCGAATCTTCAATCCAGTGGTAAAATACGTTCGAGGTGTTAGAACAACTTGAACATTTTCAGGGATTGACCAGGATGGACGGTTCTCGAGAAAGTTGTTGTTTCTGCACTCCTCAATATTGAATCCTCAATCCAGTGGCGAAGCACTTTCAAGTGATAGAAGAACTTGAATGTCGTTTGGGTTTGTCCAGGATTGACAGTTCTCAGGAAAGCTTGAATCTTCCATCCAGCGGTAGAATACTTTCAAGTGCTTAGCGATCCAGTGGAAACGCCTTCAAGTTCTTGGTTAGACAAACTTTCAAGTGCTTTGGTGAGCTTCATGTCAGTTATGCTCATGTTGACCCTTTTCCAAGAGTTAACTTAAGGTAGGTGTAATGCGCAAAAACTCTGTATTTTCCAGTATTTTATAAAGGGGCCCAGGATCATGGGGGTACTTTATGTATGTGTATGCATGTGCATAAAAAGATGTACATATGTATGTACATTCACACACCGTCACCCCCCCTCTTGAACTACCCTCTGGTGCATTTTGCTTGGACGTTAGGACTTCAACGTTTTTGCCAACTAATGGGTTTTCCATTAAACCACTAAAAGTTAAACTTTTAGCAGGGGAGCAGAAAGCAACCGAGTACCTGTCCAATTGCTCATCTACTACCTCCACCTTTTGAGATATAATGATTTTTTCTCGTGCAAATATAATTTTAGATGCAACTGATTTAGAGAGGACCCCTGTTCGAGATAGCCTTAGAATTTGGATTTGAACCTCTCTTCCCTTGAAATTTCGCCTTGGACCGTCTAACAAGTTCAATGTCGGACCTATCTTATGCTA